TGTGTGACATTATAAAAGGGTTTGTGATTTTATGGCTGAAATCTTTTGATAGATTAATAAAACAGTCTTGCCAATCGCAATAAAGTATTGATCAAACATCCTACACTACCTTTTGGCCAATTCTCCAACAGGTGTTCGGTCCTTCTAGGTTAATGTGAGCCGGCGCAGTGGGTCTCAACCTAGAAGAAAACGTTTTTACAACTTTATTTTACAAAAGATTTTACAGACAAATTGTGACTGCTAAATGTCTGCAGAAATACCTTGTAAGAGGTTGTGTTTTATGAAAGCATTGCCTAAAAATAGTAACGTTACATAATGGGGTGTGATTTTTTTTCCGGTCTTTGAAATGACAAACCCTATTGGGAATTCCAAGTACATGGAACTGTAGTTTAACGCAAACATTGAGCAATTTCAGCCTTAGGTAAACTTGCGCCCTGTGCGAAGCACTCGTTCGGCGCCACCTTCCCTGTCCCTGAACGGCTCTGCTCTTTTTCCGAATACGACGTAGGCTATGGAGTACATGTTATGATGGTATACATGTAGCTAACCATACACATTTTAACATGAACATTAATTAGGCTGTTAATTTTTTCTACGGTACTTTGTTCCATTTCCACACCAACTTTGGGATCGTCCATAATCTGCCCCTTTGAGGTTGGAACTATCGGCACATTTTTACTAAAGGAGTATTCTCAGTAGGCCAAATCTTCTAAGTATCAAAGGAGTTCAAAAACCCTGATTTTAATTTCAGCTCACACATATGTCCCAAGTTCACTTTTTATTATATTTTAATTCAACTTCATGTTCACTTTTCACGCATTTACGCATTTTTTTAAAACTGTGTGCCTTCTGACTATCAAATTGTTCGGCAATGTTGGACATATCAATGGATTTTGCTATTTTATTTTCAATTCATAGGATTGCCGAAGATGACAGTTAGGAGTCCGTAATGATAGATCGCATGCATGTTTCTATGAGATTCAACTTTGAGAATCTTCTTTCGTCACTAGCGATAGACACTGGCAGAGTCAGCAGAATTCTGTGAGGCAGACAAAGATTCAGAAAACCTCAACTAGAGAATTTTTTAATAAGATTTGCAGATTTTGATGAGGTGACTTGGAATCTTCTGCTAGTAACTCTTTCAGACTCTTTAGCTCTTTACATAAGCCATGGGCATTGATAACTGAAGAAGATCCACAGCTTAGAGCTAGCTGTAGGTCTATGCAATGTTTCATCAACAGATCATTTTGCATTGGAGCTTTGAGATGGTACAGAAATCCCCATGTCTGGTTGTGATTCTCCATCTAGTGAAAGCGTTCTTTGAATGCGTTGATTGCGATGTCAACGAATCAATAAGAGAATTCCATTTTAAATTTTCAGCTGGGTCTGTGGCTGCTTCATCACGCCCTCCATCGTCAAAGAGGCAAAGTTTCTTTCGTATCCTAACTTCTTTGTATTCCGCTGGCACGCCAAGTTCTTCTGCAATCTGTCTCGCAGTGTAGATGCAAGCGGAAAGTTCAGTATTTCGGAATTTTTCTAAATTTTCACAGCAACTGCTGATCAGCTTGTTCCCAATCACGAGATCAGACTGTTCGCTCTGCAGCGATTGGCTGACGATGTTTATTTGGCTCAAGATGTGATACTAGACGATTATGGAAACACTGAATTTACAGTCGCCAAGCTGCTCGGCCAAAGCGATGGCTTCGTTTCTAATCTTAGGATCATACATGTAATGCTTCTTCAGATATTACGAACAACTTTTCTCTGGCCTGTTTCAATCGGTGTCTCAATGGACACACACAGTCCATTCTGCATTCCCAACGGGTTTTGCTGAGATGCTTTATGGTCAAATTAGGAACATGGTCTTTTAAATTTAGCCCAGCGGTGTGGCGAAGAAGAGAAAACCAAATACACTTGCTCTAACACTCCAAACAGCATCGTGGATTCATATGACGAGCTGGCAGCATCCGGTATGCTACAAAGTGGTTTTGGGATCTTTCATGTGATGTTAGAATAGATGACATATGTACATAATCGTTGCATCTGTTCTCTGCAAGGGCTGAACGGCAGGAAACGTCAAACAATTTGCAAGGAAAACAGAAGACACCATTAGCTGAAGTTAAACATACCAGCCAGCGTCTTCTTCGAGCCTCTCCGATGTCGAGCTTTTGTTTAATAAAGTTTGTCAAAAAGTGCCGACCCTCCTCGTCCTTTGGAAATTCCAAATCATGTGTTCTTTCCCCGGGCCTTTGATGATTACAAAAGTCAATCGCAGCCTGTGTCATGTTTATAGTTCATGACAGAGGATCTGCAGATTAGTTCATTTGGCGTCAAAGAACAAAAAATACTCTCTTAACCACCATAGTCCGACCCCCTGGTGCCAAGGTTCAAACTTCAACATAATGAACTGAGGGAATTTAAATATTTAATGAGCGTCCCAGGTGCCCGTATGGACCGTTTCCTCTGCGAGGTCACAGGTCACACACACTCAAGGCCTCTGACACGCACGACGTAAACATAAAATTAATCAGAACGACATGATTCTTGACAAATGAACAGTACACAGATTTAGCCCGTCTGTCGGCTCTCTTGAAACGTGAGACACGTGGTGTGAGGGGGTTCGCACTTTGCACATGATATAAATTATAGCCTTTGTCTTGCTTTAACTACGAAATGGAAACTAAGAAAAAAAGCGATAAATAATTTTTTTTTGAAAATGAAAGCCCGGTTTTTTCGAGCATCGTTACAGTCCGGTATTCCAGCATTCTTGAAAATCTAGACCTCGGATTGAGACCAGTGATTATTTCAGAAATTTTCCCCCGTGGAGGAGGGGGGGGGGGGGGCACTTCAGATTTTTTTTTATTGATTTATTGTGGGACATTTTTTGCTCCGGGGGGCGGTTGGCTTTCCCGTGGGGCAGTGTCCCCTCCCCCACCGGGGATATAGCTGAAAGAAATCCTGATTGCGACCACTAACTGCCATTTATTGGGAAAGCGTGTTGACCTTTTTTTAAAAAGGTCGACATGGAGGGAGAAATACTTTCTTTCTGACGAATACATTTCTAGACTTTCTGTGTGAAAAGGGTTGGAGGGGTGGGGGAGGGTGGTTTCTGACTCCCTCACAGACTTACGATTTCTTACCTGACTTACAGGAGCCCTACGAGATCTACTAGAACTTTATACTGTGTGTGTGTGTGTTTGTGTGTGTGTGTGTGTGTGTGTGTATTAATATGTGTACCTTTCTAGTTTTACAATTTTTCGCTTGCTGTGCTGTAAGTTGATATAATTTTTATTTCTTTATTTTTGATTTTTCTATTTTTTATATCAACTTAATAGTGTAACTACACTGATCATTGTTAATATCATTAGCTTTTTTTTGTTTTTTTTTCTTTGCACGCTGGGCAGAAGTCCTTTTGGCGTATTATAATGAGCAAATCTTAACGCAGTTGACATTTATTGTAAAACCATGTAAGGGTATGCATCTGTGGGTTAATATATATCTAATAAAATTGCTTGGTAAGAGGGAAGGACACTTAACATGTTAGACTTAAAGAAACATAAGTGCAACAACGTAATTCCAAAACACGAGTAAATGAAAGATCAGAAATCAGAGGTCCATCAGTTATTTCCATACACATTCAGTTCGTTACTTGCGTGGCGGGTATACAAACAGATAAGGGTAAAATATTAAAAAAATGGATTATGTTTTTTTTTAAAGTCATTAAAGATTTTGAAAGACTCGAGAGTAATCAAAAGCTGGCTTATTTTCGGTCTTTTTTTTTTTTTGGTCACGTGTCATTCCTTCCCCAAAATGACCTGATTCGAGCTAAGATCTGTAAATTAACACTTTGTTTCGTATACTTTGCTCTAATGTAAGTATAATTTCCGAATTTTTTTCATAAAAGTTAGCAAAACAACATACAAAATAATAAACTTTTAGGCTTATAGAGCTGTTGTTTTATCAAAGTAGCAATTACACGAAATGCATTTTTATTATAGCTTTATCTATGTGTTTTATCAACGTAAAAAAAAAAAGATTACTTGTTTTATAATGGCATTTCGATTAAACGTTTTATTCTAAGAAATTTAGACATAAATTTGTATGTTACGTCAGGAGACATGGCTCCGTATTTTGACTTTTCATTATTTTCTAGGAAAGACAAGGTAATAAATTGCAATACCGTCAGACTGTAATAACAAAAAATAATCCTGGATACTTTTTGTCAGCGTTTTTGTATTTGATAAATAATATGAAATTTACAAAAAAAAATGTGTTTGTTTGTAGAGGACGGCGGTCAAGATAGCTAAAAAAAAATCATGAAAAATGACAAGATACACTAACTCCTTATATTATAAATATGCTTTCAGTTTTGTAAATACTTCTGGTGCGAAATGTTCTGAAAGGGGTCCGCAATGTGTTAAATGACCTCAAAAAGTATAAATTCATCACTATGTATTTAGCATTTCTTTTCTTTATTGTTCAACTGATTGTCTGTCTACGCAGGGCCACTCTATGATGCCACTGTATGGAGCCACTCTATGATGCCACTGTATGGAGCCACTCTATGATGCCACTGTATGGAGCCACTCTATGATGCCACTGTATGGAGCCACTCTATGATGCCACTGTATGGAGCCACTCTATGATGCCACTGTATGGAGCCACTCTATGATGCCACTGTATGGAGCCACTCTATGATGCCACTGTATGGAGCCACTCTATGATGCCACTGTATGGAGCCACTCTATGATGACACTGTATGGAGCCACTCTATGATGACACTGTATGGAGCCACTCTATGATGCCACTGTATGGAGCCACTGTATGATGACACTGTATGGAGCCACTGTATGATGACACTGAACAAGGCACTATAAATCAAAATCAACTAAAAAAATGTTCTTTTTTTTTTAATATTATAATAAAGACGTCCTTGATAAGAGCTGCAAAAAGATAGGGAACCGCCACTGTGTAGCAGCTGTTTACCCGCTTATAAAACTGAAGGGCAACCGTCACTTGGGGTTACAATTCAAGAGAATTTTCCCTAGCACTGTTCGTCGTATCAGTGAGTATTTACACTCAGTACAACTAGTCTGTCGTATTAGGGATTAGTTACGCTTAGTAGAACTAGTAAGAGTTTATAATTTCAGTCTTTAGTTACGCTTGGTTATTATGATAACTGTTTAATCTAAATCTGAAGGTTTTTAAATTTTGTTATTTTCAATTTTAGGAAGATTTTTGTTTGGCTCTTTCTGTTCAGTTATTGATCCCCTTCACAATGTTTCGGTGTTGCTCAGCATATGCAAGAGGTCTATAAAACAAACTACTATTTTGATTATGAAGCAGTTTTAAACAATTTAAAAAAAAAAACTTTTGTTTTTTTATTTTCTAAAGATTTTGTTCGAATGTGTGAGTATGTTGTGTTCATCAAAAATGTAGAACAGAGTTTTATTTTATTTGAAAAAGTGTGTGTGTGTGCGTGCGTGCGTTCGTTCGTGCGTGCGTGTGTGCGTGCACATGTGGGAAGCGAAATTGTTCGGTTTACTGTAAATACTTCATTTAAACAGTTATTCATTATGTTTTTTTTTGTGTGTACCTATGTCAATTATATCTAAAACTATAGAACGGAACCATGAGAATGATAGTGTCGCCGATGCTTGCCATTCTTCTGGCATTTCTTCTAGACTTCTGTAGCCACACTAACGCTATTGTCTGCGAAAAGGACATTTGCGCTGGAGTAAGGTGTGAAGCTATCACCTATTGTTCCGGAAAGTTGGTCAAGAACGGAGGCATTTGTTGGTGCTGTGACTTGTGCGTTAATGTCCTGAGTGAGTATTATGCAGACACCTATTTTTCACTTCTTTATTGATTGCCTTGCAGTCTATTCTCTACTCTATTCTCTATACCAATTTTCTTACTTCTGCATTGCAGCTATACCAAAACAAAATAGTTGTGCTAAGAAATGGTTGAAATTAGTTTCTACATTTTAAGTTTGATACCATTAATTATTGTCATCTTAAAAACTGTGGGTAAACTATCAATAGCACCTGGAAATAACTGGGACAGGGAGGGCAATCTGTTAGAAAGACAAAAATATATTTAAATTATTTTAATTTGATAAAAAAAAACGTTGGAAAATGAATGTACAAACAAATCTTATTTATATTTTTGTTTCTGGTTCGTCCTGCTCCCTTTAACCCCCCCCCCTCCTTACTCCACACGTTTTATATTAATTGTACTGAGTATGATAAAATACGTCATGCTGCGAGCTTTCATGTGTTGTTTGACGTCATGCTGCGAGCTTTCATGCTGCGTGTTATCTGACGCCATGCTGTGAGCTTTAATGCGTGTTAAATGACGTCATGCTGCGAGCTTTCATGCATTTTGTCTGACATCATGCTGCGAGCTTTCATGCGTGTTATCTGACGTCATGCTGTGAGCTTTAATGCGTGTTAAATGACGTCATGCTGCGAGCGTTCATACGTGTTGTCTGGCAACATACCGTGAGCTTTCTTGCTTGTTGTCTGAACCGCCGTAAAAAGTTAAATATTTTTCTTTGGGGAGGGTGGGGGTGGGGGCAACTATTACATTAATCAGTCAAGAACCACGGGTGCAGGACTGTCTGAGGGTTGCCTGAGGGCTGTCTGTAGGACTGTCTACTACTTCATACTACAACATATTAATCCTGGCAAATATGTTTCAATATTTTGTTCCACAGATCCCGGAGAATCATGTTACCTGCCGTTTTTTCAGGGCGTGCCAAGCTTAGCCGTATGCCCTGACAACTACATCTGCGACCCCGAAACTTCGAAATGTGTGGCCGCCTCATGGTAAGACTGTGCTGCTCATCAGCTGGTTGACCCCAGGTCTGGTGCTTTTAAGCGAGAACGATCTAATTTGGTCATTTTTTCAAACCAAACTAACCCTGTTACCTTCCAACAGTTGGAACTATAGGATATCTGCAATCGCGAGTGCGAAGTTTGGTTTTGAGATATGGGGTGGGGGGGGCGCAACCCCGTCAGGTTTTTGCTGTTTTTGAGCATTTGCTAAAAATCTTCTCTCCATCAACGTAAAACTTAAACATCCATTGAGATTAAGGTTTAAACATCAATTGTACTTTAAAATTAAACATCACTTGAAATTAAGGATCAATCATCCCTTGAACTAAAGGGGCAAACATCCCTTGATTTTGAGGCTTTAACATCCCTTGAACTTAAGGGTTAAACATCCCTTGAACTTAAGGTTTAAACATCCCTTGAACTTAAGACTTAAACATCCCCTGAACTTAAGGCTTAAACATCCCTTGAACTTAAGGCTTAAAAATCCCTTGAACTTAAGGCTTGAACATCCCTTGAACTTAAGGCTTAAACATCCCTTGAACTTAAGGCTTAACCATCCCTTGAACTTAAGGCTTAAACATCCCTTGAACTTAAGGCTTAAACATCTCTTAAAATTAAGCTTAAACGTCACTCGGTTAAGTTCGCCCAAGAAGAGGAGATCCAAACAATATGAGCACGTTTCGATCTGACGATACTTTCAGTTAAATGTTAATTAGACCTTATGGCCACCTGTATTTACTGTCCACATCCCCTCGAAATCATTGATTAGACTCGCGGTTAAATGAAACAAAGGAGGTCAATAATGTCCTTTGTGGGAAATAATCGGTGATTTAAATACACACCCGCTTCATGCTATTCATATTACAACCTTTACTTTCTCTATTTGTAGAAAATTGGACCCGTCTCAAAATGCATCAGAATTTTGGTGTTCTAAAATGTCGGAACAGTAAAATAAACAGATGCTTTACAGTTAATGGTCGTTGCTTAATTGTGTTTTACCAACTGTGGCTTACTTTTAATGACATTAACGAACGACTAGTGCGGTGCGGTGAGTGATGAAGGACACGTGATCAAAATAGCAATCTATATAAACGTTCATTGCTACATCTCTTGCTATCAAACCACTAGACAACAAAGAAAATGGTATTTTATATATATATATATATATATATATATATATATACCTACATATTTATTTATTTAAAGGCGCTATTGAAGCCTAATAAGTGATTAAATAATTACTTGTTTACTAACAACATAAAAGAAATTCCCTCCCTTAAGTGGAAAATTATTGATTTCCTCTCCTGAGCAAAATGAAAAGTGTAATCCTGGTACCATACTAATTAATTAAGTTTTAGCTCAAGCTCAACCTTGTCAATCAACCATAGCCTACACAAGCTCCATGTTTATCTGTAGATTAGTCAAGGACTTAACACTTAACAGAACCCGGACAATAGAGCAATTACATCTACGCACAATTTTTAAGAGGAAAGGCTGGGTAGAGTTAATATTTATGGTTGCCTTGGCGTTAAATCCTGCCACACAGCCTATCAAAAAAAAAAATAACTCCGATATATATGTCGCAATTTTCTGCAGCACAAGAAGCAGCCGGGTTCTTTGCGTTCTGTTATTTGGAACTCTAGGCAAACACAAAAGAGAGAGAGAGAGAGAGAGAGAATCCTCAGAAAATAATGTGTTGTTTTTTAATTGTGTATGGTTCGGAAAGATAACGGTCATTGAGGAAAGATAACGGTCATTGAGGAAAGATAACGGTCATTGAGGAAAGATAACGGTCATTGAGGAAAGATAACGGTCATTGAGGAAAGATAACGGTCATTGAGGAAAGATAACGGTCATTGAGGGAAGATAACGGTCATTGAGGAAAGATAACGGTCATTGAGGAAAGATGGCGGAGATAAAAGATCGATTGAAATTTTTTTAAAAACCTCTATGAAAAGTTTGCTGCTGACAGAATAATAAACAATTTGCATTTCGCCTTCTTTTCTTGGTACTCGCCACGTATCCAACATTCTTGTTAATCTTACCTTAGCAGCCCTCTTTGCTTTACAGCAGTATTCGATTTCCTTCTTTTGATAATGTGTTTATGAAATTATTTCGAATTGTTTTTCTGTGAATCTGAAAGGTAGATTCTTTGATTTCACGGATCACTTCCATGATTGAATACGTCTACCATTTCCTGAAGACTACATAATCTATACAACAAGTTGAGAGTGTCTGTCTGTGTGTTAAGATGTCTTTGGTGTAGAATGCTTTTTTTGGCCTAAAACGATAAAAGTCTGTTATTGTTCTTCTTCAGCTTTTCCTCAACCTTTTATAGATAAATATTTATTGCCTCAAACTGATCGCATGCGTCCACATATATTTTCATATCATCATTAAACTTATTGTACACAATAGAAACAAACCTTAATTACTTTTGGCATTTATTTAATTTAAATATTTCCAAGTAACACCGATACAATGATTGGATCAAGTACTGTTTGCTATAAAATTTCTCATGGAAATTTGTGGCTACTTAACTAGTCACAATTCAAAATTGCGTACACATAAAGTAATTATATAAAGAAGATAGGTTATTTAAAAAAAAAAAATATATATATATATTTATTAATACGTGATTTATCTAAAGAAAATTGAGTTATAATACATTACACTCCCCCCCCCCCAAAACAACAAAAAGAAAAATAATTATAAAAAATTAAACCCCCCCCCCCCCCCCCCAAACCACAAAAAAAATAATAAAATTGTGAACTGAAAGGTTAATCTAAATTTCAAACTATTACAACCGGAGTAGTCCCATGGGGCTTGCAGGATGTCTCGAATATTTAAGGTGACCGATTTGTGGTGTGGAAAATATAAGCTGTTAACTAACTGCACTGTGTTCAAAAGCTAAAATTGCCAGGAGACCTCGAAAAGATTCACCGCGCCTTAGGCAAAGAAATGATACATTTTAATGGTTAATCAATGATCCTTTGTCACCCAATGTAAAATTCTTTGAATTACTTTAACACGTTTCACCCCTCAACCCCCATCCACACACTCCAGTCCCCACCCCCACCCCAATTTTTAAAAAATCCCTGATACCTATATTTTTTTTATTTTAAATTAACGAATTTTTATAAAAATAGTAGATTTAAAAAAATGGAGCTGAATTGAAATTGGAAAATCCAATTGTTAAAATATTTGGGAAACTTGCATTTTGAAAGCTTAATTTATTAGCTAAAAAATCTTTACATAATTATGTACTTTAATATATTTTAATGCTCCTAGAAGCATGAGACCCACCGTGAAGCGTGATGCCCCCCGCCCCACCCCTAAAAGTACGAGACGCCCTAGAAGCAAGTGCCTCCCTAGAAGCAAGAAGCATTTGGTACCTGCCCAGAGTGCCCGTGCGTTGAGGAGGAAATGAGAGCGATAAACAACTAAAAATCCTTGAGGACTGACTTATTAGGATTCATCTCACAGGCAGAAGGCAGCTTCAGGTTGCACTGTACATCGTTCAGGCCGCCACGACTCGAATTGTACACGACACAGTCTTCAACAGAGTTGTGGTTATTCGGCTCATCTGCAAATACCGTTTTATCCATAGATGTTAATTTCATAGTATTAATTTCACCGGAAATAACTTTAAACAACAACAACATAATATTAAAGCATTTTAATACTTTATATTATTAAGTCTGGAATTTAAAATGATTTTTATGATAATATTAAATTGAATTAAACAAACAACAACTTTTTTTTTAACATTAAAGCACTGGATGACCATTAACAAGCTCAAATTAAATGACGATAAGACTGAGCTGCTCCCCATTGCGACCGCTCAGAAGCAGAAATCTGCAAATAACACGACATCCATTACTCTCTCACGTGTGCGTATTGAGTTAGCTCAAACAGTGCGGTACCTGGGTGTCTACCTAGATAGAAGACTAACTTTTGAAAGTCATATTAACATGCTATGCAGGGCGATTTTTCTGGAGCTGCGCAGGATTAGTCAAATCAGGCCCTTCCTAACAATTGATACAACAAAGAGGCTGATGTCTGCATTTGTGCTATCACGCATGGACTATTGCAATGCTCTCATGGTGGGTCTTCCAGCTACGCTCCTGGATAAAATTCAAATAGCACAGAATAATGCGGCTCGCATTGTTCTCCGCAAACGCAAGTTTGACCATGCAAAAACACTTCTGAGAGAGCTGCACTGGCTGCCAGTGCGTGCTCGCATGGAGTACAAAATCGCAACTTTGTGCTACCGCTGCTTACATGACCTGGCGCCGTCCTATCTGAAAGAGCTGCTGACGCCTTATGTACCCAGTAGAGAGCTCCGCTCATCCGATAGTGGCAAACTCTCGACACCACGTGTTTGCCTTGAGACTTACGGAAAGCGCACTTTCGCATTTGCTGGTCCAACAATTTGGAACGCCCTTCCTGTCGATCTTAGAAACAACCAGACACTGGAGTCCTTTAAAACCGATCTAAAGACACATCTATTTCGCAAATACCTTCTGGGATGATTGTCTACCTTATTTTCCATGTGTTGCTGTGTTGCTCCGGGTTGAAATGGCTAGAAAGACTTTGATATTGTATGCTTGTAATTAGTTTTTGTAGTGTTGCGTTTGTTTTAAATGTGGTGAATTATAGATATGTTTTTTGTTGACTTTGTACCGCGCTTCGAGCCTTTGGGGATGAAGCCTGTTTTTGAAATGAACTTTATTATTATTATATATAAATATATATATATTATATACATACTATAAATTGTTAGAATCATAAACCTTAATACTTGAGTAATCAAACTACGGCCAGTGTGCTGGATCTAGCATTCAAGGTACTTAAATTATTCTGGCCGCCATTTGGCTACCCCGGTTGAAGAGACAAATATGGAACCGGGCATCTCCTTAGTAATTTTAATTTGATAATTTTTGTTTTCTTTTACTTTA